TCTTCACGAAGGACTTGCGACGATTTCACGTTTGAGTAGCCGCTGTTCCAGGTGATAACAATATCGAAGAATCGTTTGAGCAACAAAATCTCGCGGTCTCGTCAAGGCACTTTGGCCTCAACTCAACAGCTCGTTTCAAAACCGAACGGGTTATTGGTCATGAGTCGACGTCACCATTTTCGAATGCCCATGTGTGCAGTCTTGTTCTCACGCGATGGCATCGGCAAGCTCCACCTTCAAACAAGCCCAGGAGGGAGGAGGACTTGAGGAAGGAAGACTTGACGACGCATGACTCCGTCCGCCAGGCGGACACGGAGTCCCAAGTTTAGCAGGATGGACTTAGGCGGAATACGTTGGATCATGTAGAGAAATACTGGGTGGCGCGCCCGAATTCGACACCGAAAAGCGTTCGCTGCCTGGACCAGAAATGGTTCGCACTTAACATATTCCCACGATTGAGAGCGAAGTATCTGATTGAGAGCGAGATCGTGCGATACGATGTAGCTTGTCTATTGCTGAGAGGTAGAGCTTGCTGTGTGGCTTGAATTGAAGGGCTTGCCCATAGATACAAGCCGATACCCGGGTCATCCTGCGGGTGTCTCGCGTGGTGGAGCTACCCCGCGGAGCAGAAGCTACGGGAGGGCCTACCGCGCCAGGCGACGGCGCCCTGAAACAGTTTCGGGCAGGAATAGCCAATCTGGGGAAATCTAGCAACGTGCGTAGCTCCTCGCTGCTGCAGCCGATCGCAGTGACACGCATATGCACGCGAAGCTGCTGAAGAGAGCTTCAATTTGCGCCGCTTTCTGGAAGAGCCCGTCCCCTGCTTCCCGAGAAATTACGGGAGGCGTCTGGACCCGAATTTCGATTTTTTTTGGTTCTCGCTCTCAATCGGAAACTTCGCTCTCAATCGTGCGAAAACCCTGTTACTTGCGCTTACGGAGCTTGTCTGTGCAGTGGGCCCCAAAGAAGCTGCGGTTGTCTTTGGCAGATACCGGACATTTTTGGTTGTGTCGAAAGATATTGATGTCAAGGTCTGTCTTTCCGAGGACCACGACTTCGCATCGAGACGAGGCACAAAGCATGAGGTATTTCTTTTTGCGACGGAAATAATCCAAGAGCACGATGTTTAATAAAAAGTGAGGATTCTCACTTTTCGCCGACCTGACTTCATGGTGTCATGATATTCCGGTTTCGGGAACAAAAAAAACACCACGAACCTGACGCAGGGAGAGGCGTCTGTACTACTACGACAGCTATGCCATGGAGGCGGCCACCAGTGAGCATACCTGCCACTATCGCAACGGCTTCGATATATCGATTGGACACACCCCAAAAGTGGTGTTTCACCACCTTCAAACAACTGCTCCCGCCGCCCGGCGGTACTTCCTAACGTTCAGGGTACGTGTTATGCTTCATTTGGCACGGTTGACTCGCATCACCATTTCCTGTTTTCCTACTCCGGTTTCGATCGTCTCCAGGCCTGTCTTCGGTGTTTGAGGTTGTATATTTTTTTTTTTTGTGTAGTTTTTGTTTTGGGTAGTTGACCTGTGACCACGAAAGGCGCCCGAGACAGTTTGACCGGTGCAGAGCGGGGAACAGTTCCTACAACGACAAGGTACAAACACCAGAGTTCCTTTCGTGGCTTCGATTGTTTGCGGAGCTTTGCTTTTCACGGCGCGTGTTTGGAATGAAGCTCACGACACGCGCAGGGCGAACGCAACAATTCCCGGGAATATCAGGCATGCGGGCACGGTTGCCAAGGACGGAAGACACTTCGAAACCGTGCACAAACGTAAATCGTCAATAAACGTATCCCTTGCGTCTTAGATTCACCCCATTGCCGCATAACTCATTTTCAGGGCACAATATATTTCAACATGCATGGATACGAGGAGCGCGCTAGCATCGTGAAGCTACACGATCCTGCGCAAGGAGTGGTGGTCGCTGAGAAGTGCTGCAGGCACTGTTTCAAGGTTTGGCCGGAAGAACTGATGGACGTGAAAGAAGACTACCTCCAACTCTGTGTCGAGGAGATGATTCCACGGTACGAGTCGTGGGACTTCGAAGACCTCATGAACACCACGTTCGCGTTAGTGCCGGGCGGGGCTTCTCCTGGGACTCATCGCCTTGCAGAGGCGAGTACACGTTGTCGGGCTCTCTCAACGCTCGCCATGCTGTCCCCAAACAATGGTTTACGGTTTTGCTTTCCCTCTCTTCGCTCGGAAGTTAACGACGTCGACGCTCGCCGTGACTTTCATGTCGTGGCCAAAAACGCCTATCCACGCTTGCATTTTTTTCTCTCTTGAATTTGATGACACTTGCGTCCGTGAGCGCAGCCCGAACTTGCAGTTGCTCACACCGAAGGGTAGATGTAAACCGGTTGTGCAGCAACCCCATGAAGAATGAATTCAAAAAGCAATAGGAACCAGGCACCCGGGAAACATCCTTCCGATGTTCATTTGGGGGCTCCTCTCGAGCGCATTCACTGCTACGTCGTTGAACAAGGACCTCCAACAGAATGGCTTGGCGTGTAGGAAGCTGGATGTGGCGTTGAAAGCGCAATAGTTTTTTCATCAAGGAGGTCGACAGAATAATTTAAATTTTGTCGCGATAACGAGTGAAAATATAGTACTCAAACTCGGGTACAGTGGGAGTTTTGCCTCGATTGGATACCGCAAAATGGTGACGTAACGCACAACTTTATTTGCCATTTGATACGACACATTTGAAGTGATGAAATGCTTGGGTTCGTTGAGGTGTATTGAGGCAACTAAGTATTTTCGTTCAAGTCAACAACCCTCCACTTCCCATGGTCAATGAAGAATCAAACGCAGCTTCTCTTTTGCTGCCAGCAAGGTACGTGAACTGTGTAAGAATGGCCTCCTCCTCCACAGCCCAGCAACATGAGCCCGTTTATTGTATTCTTTCGAATTGCCTTGATAAATATTTCTGTGGCCTACGGAGGGAGACATCCCCCGTACCACACGTTCCGCACGGCACAAAGCCTCTGCGGTATCCTACCGTGCCACTGCTACCAGACGGGACGAAACTGTTGCACAGCAGCAGTCTCGGACGATTGAGCCTCCCAATGGCACGCACTACCATTCAGAAAACAACGCAATGCTACGTCATACTTCTACGTGGCAAACGGTTGCACAAACTACGAGTCACATAAATATTAAGAGGCCTCTCCTAAGTGAGTCCTCACTCGTAACATCTCCTATCCCCCACCTTCGAAAGAAAAGAGGTGGGTGGGCGGGAGCAAAGCTACTAGCTAGGTCCAAACTTCGACGTAGCCTAGCTGCTGCCCTCCTTCTCGCGTGCCCCTCGGACGCGGGCTGCGTGTTACACGCGGTGCATTCCTCAAAACCTGGCCCTTGCTCCAGTAGACACGCGTCTATCGAACTCTTGCTGCAGGGGCAGCGAGGCAGCAGAATGAGAACTCCGTGACCTTTTTCTTTACAAGATCCCAGAAAGCCAAACCAAGACAACTCAACCAACACGCCCCCAAAGCGGCACAATAATAACCCACATTCAAACGTAGATCTGGGAGATGTTTCGAATTCTTCCGTGCCCAATAAATTACAGTTTATTCGGTCTTCAACAACAAACTTTCATTTCGTTGATGATGTACGAAAAATTTCATGGCCCTCAGGTAATGAGCGCTGGGGCCATTCCTGTGATTGTTGTGAGGGATTGGGTGAAACCTTTCCCGGAGAAGGTCGACTGGCCTTCGTTCTCCTTCACCTTTAGCCCAGACGAAGTGCCTCACATGCTCGAGGTCCTGAGGTCACTCCCACCAGCGGAGATAGAGGGAATGCAGGTGAGGTTTATGGTGGCACTTGGAGAAGCGTCTTCGACACATCAACTCTTGAAAAATACATCATATAGCGGCGACCGTTCGCACCCAGAGGTTATTTTCTAGGGCGGTGCTATCGGAAGGTTGCCGCTAGCTGCAGCCCTACACGCCCCGACATCCGAAAGGTACAGGCCCAGACTTTGACCCGGAACATTTGTGGACGTTTCGGGCCGCGGCTAGCTGCGGCCTTGCGACCCCACGGCCCCAGCACCAAACCTGGGCGTGCGAACGGTCGCTACCCCATGATATGCTTCACTGGTTCCCATCGCATGTTCACGCTCTCTGATTCACTTTACCCTCCGCGTCGCCTGCTTCGTCTTCCGTATAGATCGTTTTTTGTGTTGGTTTTCATGAAGAAATGTGAGAAGACAATTCCCAAACGCTGGTCTGTGCGACAAGCGGAGGTTTTTTCCACATATCTACACTGCTCTGACGGATCCGCTTGTGATCGCTGTGTGCTCTGATCTTGTAGTCGTGTTCGAAATCTGTCAAACCGAAGCCCGCTGATCATCACCCCCCTAAATTTATTACTGCCGAAGCTTCACGAAGCGGAACGATTATTGGTGCTGCTGTGAAAACTCATCAAACAATACTGCCGGTCGTTACATCAAACATTAGCAAAGAAAATCACAATAGTCTTTCGCAGTCTAAAGTTTGCACGATCGACGCCCTCGAAACTATTCCCGTTGTTCTCCCCAGCGCAAAGCAATCGAGGCATATTGGAAAATTTACGGCGGCATTACGAACTACTCCTGGATCTACGGCGTCACCATGGAGATTCTTAGCGAACGGCTGGGGTATCACAGGGCGTGATGTATTGTTTTGGCTTATTGTTTTCTTCGTTTTCTGTTTTCGGGGTGTTCTACGTTTGTTTTCCTTTGTGCTATTGTTTTGGGTCCTCTAGGTTATTCTGGGCTGGATGGCCTATGACCACGTACGGACGACGTCCGCGTCCATTTGACCAACCGGTAAACACGGATATTGGCAGGTACTGAGCAGAGATCGGAACGGATTGTAATGCGAAGACAAGTTCGATGGATACTACGTTTGGAATTACCCTGACATGGTTTGTGGATTTGAACGTAGCTTCTCTTCCTGTGTCCCGTTACCCGTAGTGAACAAGGCAACAGCGAGTATTGCTGTTCCAACAGATGAAAAAATAAGTCTTCTGGGATCGCTACGCCTGTAATCCCACTGAGAATTCCACTCAGCACCAGCACAGAAAGGCCAGTCCGACTGTGTGTGCATAGCTGTCGGCATCCCGCGAGTCAACCTCGGTAGTACATGTAGTTTCCACAAACATTGCACGTCGCGATAATATTGCCGGGTTGTTGGGATAGTGGCTACATGGCGTTGCTCACCGTGATCAGCTTGTTTTCGTTGTTATCAAATCGTTCCGGTACCTTCCAAGCTCTGTGCCGGTCTTACTAACTGTCGTGTCCATGTAAACGGTAGCCAAGTTCTTTTCCTACTGTGTTCGCTGTTGGCAACATAGACAGTAGTGCCCATGCTATGACGGTGGAGGGCATGAGCGCGTCAAGTCTAGTGTGCTGTAGAATGGTACCGGTATCAGCAACCAGTCGCGAGATACCACATGCCGGTAACACGTTCCCGTCTGTCCGCAAACGGTCAGAATAGTTCTCGGGCGAACCCCATATAGGCGGTTGACTTTTCGGAGTCCCCAACAACAGTGGATCATTGCAACCCGTTTAGGATTGGTTTCAGCTACGGAAAAAAAACTAAACGATTTCGTGGCTGTTGTTTTTACCGCTATTTTCTTGACCGCGGCCGTTTTTTCTCGGCTCGCGAGAGCTCTGACCACGAAACCGCGGGGTGCCTTGGCGCGCCTCGAGGGTCCTGAAAAAGGGAATTCAATCGAAGGGACAACGGTGCCAAACGCAAGCATTTTGTCTCCACCACCATCCCTTGGACGTCATATTAGTGTGGCTGCCAAATACCCCCAAGTAATAAGCGCGTCTTGGGTCACACCCCTTGCATTTGTTCGCCACGGTATTCTCCGCAGCCAAGCAAGATACAGCCCTATGCTAGACACGGTTCGATGCGCTAGGACAGAATAGAGATGCCCCGCGAGTTTCGGCAACATCGGTGGCGAGCGAAGCGAACGCGCTAACAAAAGTGATTACGCTAAGTCCAGGCGCTATTTCGCCGCCCGGGGCAGACGAAACAACTTTTTTTTCCGCGTTAAGAACTCTACAGTCTGCTCGCCGACCTCACCAAACTTATGTAGCTAACGGTGACCCAGTTGACACCCGATTTACACGCCGCGTGTGACAGCACGTTTTGCCCCCCAGCTGTCAACTTCTGATGCCAACATCGGTCAGACTTGATCAAAACAGCATTTTATCGACACACATCAACCCCCTCGACACAAATCTTACATCGATGTGGAGCTGGAAGTATTTAACTATGTTCGATGTCCATGTCTTTGGTGCATCTCCCTGGTCGGATGAGGACGTACAGGCAACGGTTGTGCAAGGGGGTGACGCGAAGTTCAAGTTACGGAGCACCGCGCTGTGTAAATATCCCGTCACGCGCCCCCTCCAGCGGCTGCCCAGCTCCAAGGGGCAAAAATGAACCACTGTGCATCCGATTTGCAAGTAATTTTGGGGCATTGGGGCATTGTGGGGCATGCCCCAATTTTGGGGCAAGAAAATAAAAACACGTTGATCTCGCCGCACCAAATCGCTGAATTTCAGCGAAATCTCGCCGTAATAATATCAACGGGACGGGAAATAACCAACGGCAGCTTTGTGATGTATTCCAGCATGTGTAGCTGTGGGCGCTAGGTATGTGTGCGTGCGATTGAAGCTGCTGCTGCTGTGTGGATCATATTCGAGTGGCCGAGCTGGAGAAGTCTGCAGCCGCAGCAGTTAGTTGGTGATTTGAGAATGCACGAGAGCGGAGTTAACAACGTGTTGTGAGGTAAAGACTAGTCCAGTTGTAGACTACAAGAGCGGAGTTAGTTGTGTTGTGAGGTGTGGTTGTAGAAGAACTCTACTATTTATTGTTGTACTGTGTGCGTCTGCGTTGGTTGGACTCTGCATATGATACAGCAACAGAGCAAGATCTGTTCGTGCTGTTGTACATGTTGCTGCGGAGGTGTGCTGTTTCGTTTCTTGTTTGCTTGAAGTCCGGCACGCCTGCTTGCCGCACACGGTTACGTCCCGCACCTCTCTGATCTGAAGCTTGTGTACACTAAAGTGAGCGTGTCTGCGTAATGCCAACCATGAGAGCCGAGACATGACAATCGAGCCTGGGCTGACGATCGGCCGCCCTACTGCCGCCGCCGTTTGGCGCTTTGCCTCTCGCTTCTATGATATGCGATGTGGTGTTGTGAAAAGTGCGATGTAATCGCGCAGCTCTTCTTCTTGTTCTTGGGGCAAAAATATCTCACATTCCAGACAGTGTGCCCTCTTGGAAAGAAGAAAAGGTGGAAATTTGCCCCAATGTACACTAAATCCATATGATCGATGCACAGTCGGCTTCCTCCGCCTTTCCCCCTACTGTGCATCCTACGTACGTACCAGGAAGCCGACTGTGCATCGATCATATGGATTTAGTGTACATTGGGGCAAATTTCCACCTTTTCTTCTTTCCAAGAGGGCACACTGTCTGGAATGTGAGATATTTTTGCCCCAAGAACAAGAAGAAGAGCTGCGCGATTACATCGCACTTTTCACAACACCACATCGCATATCATAGAAGCGAGAGGCAAAGCGCCAAACGGCGGCGGCAGTAGGGCGGCCGATCGTCAGCCCAGGCTCGATTGTCATGTCTCGGCTCTCGTGGTTGGCATTACGCAGACACGCTCACTTTAGTGTACACAAGCTTCAGATCAGAGAGGTGCGGGACGTAACCGTGTGCGGCAAGCAGGCGTGCCGGACTTCAAGCAAACAAGAAACGAAACAGCACACCTCCGCAGCAACATGTACAACAGTTGCCCTTGTGCACAACCCTTTCTCGAAACGCCGCAACTACCGTTGCACCTTCATTCAACTGTCAGCCGAAAAGCAAGCAGCTCCCGTAGACGACCATCGAAAGACGGACCTGTGGATTTATTTCCGCAACTTTGGCTAACGACGACTGACTGTGGCGGTCAAAACCTACCTGAGTTTCAAATGGACCTGCCAGCAGCCCTCTTTTTACCTCTTTTTTTGAACTTTTTCATGTCAACCCCTTCGGAGGGACAAGTCATGCTCATCGGGTCATCCTCCCACAAAGAACCAACTTGTGATACAGCAGTGGCCCCTGTATCTAAAACTGGGAAAACTTAGACTTCGCGTTCAGAACTGGACTTCGCGTTGACATGTTAGATACACAACATATCCACTGGGGGGAAACCAGACTCCGACAGCCTAACAGACAGCTTTTCGGACCCTTGTACTTTTTTTTAGATATACAACATATCCACTGAGCTAAGCACGCTGACTGTGTAGCTCAGTGGTATGTTGAAAAGCTAACAGAGGAACGGTCCCGAACCTCCGTGAAACCGTCGATTTGATTCCGAAAACCAAATCGAACACGTCACGCCCTGCGACACCAAACGAACAATCGCCCCAAAAACTTCCTCATCGGACACCGCTCCACACGGGCACAGGTAGGCCCCTACACTGGTGTGTGCATGCTGTTGTACATGGTGGACGTGTTGCCGTTGCTTTCGCGTCTGCAGGCAGCACCTCGGCCTCATAGCAACAAACCGACATTTTCTTGGGGATGGTCCTTGCATCATCGTCATCATCATTACATCATGAATGGCCGGACTGCTTTGACCCTATTGTGACTGCTTTGACCCTATTGTGACTACACCCCTCCTGAGTGTCGATAAGGATGTTGTTACTCTTCCTGTCGCACAAGTTTTTCGTCGAAAGTCGCACTTCAAGCGCGGGCTCGACAGCGCGAAAAGACCGCGTTCTCAGAGGAAGTCTGAACGCGGGGACACCAGACACACAGTTGCCGACGCAAGTAATACACGAGCAGGGAGTTCCACTGCGGTGCAGATCCGCGAGTGCGCGCCAGACCACACACACACGGACGCCAGCAGGTGCGATGAAGACAAAAAAATTTGCCCTGCTGGCGGCTTTTCTCCCCCGCACCATCATGGCTACTGCTACTGCTGCTGCTGCCGTGTCTGCTGCTGCTCTCCGCCCCGAACCTGAAGTCAAAGTTACGGGGGTGGGCACACCCCAAGAGCTCCTGCCCCAAGCCTACCGCCTGCCGTGACGCCGCCAACAAGGCGGGGTTTGAGTCCAGCCTTCCCAAGGTGAACTGCGTTGTCAAGAGACGGGAATCCCGCGGCACGTTCACGCCCCCGGGAGAAGCTCAAGCGCACGAGGTTGCCGGAGATGGGGATTGTGCGTACCACGCCTTGCTGAATGGTCTCCAGGCGAGTCTTCGACAGACGAACATGCGTCGTGACGGGTGCTGCGGCGCAAGCTGAACAAAGATCCCACAAGGCGGCGTTCAAACGTACGAGCATCATGAAAGCGAAGGCCGAAAAGGTGTGTTCTGTGTCCCGCGTTCCTCTTGTGATCGTGTGTAATTGCGCATCCGTTAGGGCGTGCTTGTAGGAGTGTGTGCCTTTTGTCTTGAGTCGGCGACTGATGTGTCGTGTTATGTTCCGTACCGGGTTGAACCTCTGGTTGACGTGCTTTGTTTGGGGCAGTGACACATAATTGCAATGGCCTCTTGTGATCTATTCTTTGTTTCCGCGGGTCTTTTGCTGCGGTGTTGTGTAATGCAACTCATTTTCTCGTATCACGTACAACGCCCCTTCGTCGTTGGTTGTACGCAATGCTTCCGTCGTGGTCGACGCCGTTGTACTGTCGCTTGTCCACAACGGTTGTCAGGAATATTTGCTGCTGTACATCGTTCAGTCCGAAAACATGTGGCCTACTTCCACGCCCCCGCCTCATGCCCGTAGTGATACGCTTATGGTTGTTTTTCGCGCGTGTGTCCGCATTTTCACCGATTGTTCTTCTTTTGTTTTAACCATCGCTGTTCACGTTTGTTTGTTCGCTGGACGTGTTGAACGCAGCTCCGATATGAACGGCAGAAGAAGAAGGAAGCCACCAACCCCAAGCGGAAGAAAAAGTCCAAGTCCAGGAAGTCGCCACCCCCAGAGCTGGAGGAGGAGAGCGGTGACGAGGAGGTGGTGTGGACGGAAAGGGGGATGGAGGACTACGAAACGTCCGACCACTTCACGAGGCGCAACAAGATGTCAAAAGACATCGGGCGTGGAGTTTCGTTGTCGGCAGAGGCTCGCGCCGCGCTGCCATCGTTGGACAACTTCATGTCGCACCAGAACCCTACCAGCGGGGAGTTTTCGCTTGACCTCATCTTGGAGAAGTGCTTGGACCTCACCTTCCCGCAAAAGGCGCGAAAGTTGTTTTTGGATAAGGTATGCTAATTATGTTGTTGTCTTGTTGCGACACGCACCGCTTTGCTTTCATGTGTCCCGTGGTGCGCGTGTGTGCGGAGTATTGAAACAGGAATTTCCAGTGCTTACAATGGTGAAACCGAATATGTACGATAATAGTGCATAAACAACCCGAGACCTACCGCCCGCCCTCTCTTCGGTATCCATCCACCCCGCACAAAGTCGCAGCGAAGTGCCCCCCTGCTGCCGTGGGCCCAATAGCTCTGCCACGATTCTGAAATAGCCTTGCACACGGCTTTGACTCGAAACCTGCCTCGAAACCCGCCCCCATCTAACCTCCGTGTCTCTCTCCCCCACCCCGCCCCCGCTCCTCCGTTATTTTGTGGGCAGACGAACGCCTACGTCAAGCACTGCACGACGGCGCCGCCGCCCGGGGAGGAGGACAAGCGGAAGCCACACCAGATGAAGAAGTCCGCCACGCTCGGTCGCGTCACGCTCGGGGAGCGGTCCGAGGAGCGCAACACCTACGGCATGTTCGAGGAGCAGCACATCGACGGCATGATCGCCAGTTGCATCACCATGGGCCCCACGAAGAAAGTCCGGATGCGAAAGCACTGAAGCCGGTCCGCCCACGACAACTACCCGCTGGTCCAGAAGTCCATGCCGCGCGACGTGTTCGAGATCTTGTACTGCCGCTTCCTTCACTGCTCCGACCCCAACGCTCCGGCGCGACTGCTACCCGATGGCGAAGAATACCCAGACTACGACTCCAAGTGGCATATCAGGTGTCTTCGATTTCAATCTGTGTGTCCTGTTGAAAACCTGGGGTGTCGATTTCGTTTGGGTCTCGTCGTTTCGGTTTTGTTGCAGTTGGAATGGTGGGGGCGGGACAGACGTGCGTCGAATGGTACCGAAGCCCCCCGGAGAGTCGAAGATTCTCCCCCGTCTATGGCGCCGCTATTTCATGTGCGGGCCGTATGGTTTGTTTTTGGTTTGCTGGCAGTGAAGTTTGGCACATGCACGCTCTATGAGTAGAGGTTTCTTCCGTCGAGTACATCACCCGACACTCAATTTTGTCTTGTAGTCGTCCTGGTACAGTAGATAGAAATGACAAATGACGGTAACGGCCCACCCTTTAAAGTGCTGTGTTTCTCGTGCTCTTCCCTGTCTGGCAGGGAGATAGAAGAGATCTTTAACACTGCATGGGCGGCGAACGTCGAGTGTGACAATTGGTTGTCGTACGACGAGCAAATGATCAAGACTGTTTCGAAGTACTCGAGCAAGCTTTCTTTCTACTGTCCGGCGAAGCCCATCAAGCACGGTGAGCATGCGCACGCTTTTGAAAGCTTGTCTCACGAAAGGGGTCTCCGAGAGTAGTGTGACCGTGGTACACGTGAACAATCCGATGAGTTTCTTGTCAAAAGTAGAGAGAGGTAGGGGTTGAGGGGGGCCGTCCAGTTGGGTGGTGGCACTTATCAACGCCCCGGTGCGGCGTTTTCCCGCTTCTTCCACAACGCCATTTCTTTTTCTGTACATCAGTGATCGCAGACTCCGGAAATCATTGATACGCCTTGGTGTCAACAGCTGCTGGTTCCAACATTATTATTATATTGTTGGCCTTCCGACACAACATTAGTCTTACCACAGCTGGTCCCTTCAGCCTCCCTGTCGGCGGACGTTCGTCCGTTTTTCTTGATGTGTGCCAGGCATGAAGCTACTAGCGGCGTGCGATATCACGGGCTACTGCTTAAGCAGCAGCGTGGATGGCGGCATGAAAGGTGACCCGAAGCTTCGCCCTTACATGGACTGCCCGCTCGGCCGGACTACTCGCCACGTGCTTCACGTTCTGTTCGGGGAGTGCGGCGTGTTGAGGCAGAAGATCGATGGCTCGGGGGTATTCATCGCCATGACAATTACTTCACCTCCCCTACTCTGTTCGAGTGCCTCGCCTCCCACGACATCTGTAGGTACCTGCCGCGCCGATCGGACTGCCGGCGCTGATGCGTACCTCGAGAGCCTCGGGCGTACCATTCCTAACCGCGGCGACATGAACTTCTGCCGTTCGGGGCAAGTGGCGTGCGTGCAGTGGGCTGACTCCAAGGATATCTTCCTCATCAGCACCATCCACGTCGCGCAACCGGCCAAGGGAATGGAGGAGGCAGGTGGAATCGACCACTTCAAGCCTTTGCCTCTATCGTGAGTCTGACTAGTGTTCTTCTTGACTTTATTCTGGTTAGCATGTTGTCTACGCTGGTATTATCTGGACGCACGAGCACGAGTGCATCCGCGGGGGGTGGGGGGCAGGGGCGAACGGGGTGCGTTTGAGAGACTCAGTACATTCGCAGCCGGAGTCGGATACTGTGTCGTGCTACCTCTGTTGACGGTGGTCGTCCTTGTGCTCGAGTCTGTTGCCCACATCCATGCACCCGTTTTGCTCGCCAGCCTAAGCCTGTTCGTCCCTCTTTTCACACGCAGCCAACTCGCAACTTTATCCTGCGCGTCTTCTGTTGTGCAGACTGAGAGCGAAGGGCCGCAACAGGGAACCTCTGGATTTGCAGCAGCCTTGGATGCGTATGGATTACGTTCTAAAGATAATGGGGGTGGATTTGGCCGACCAACAGAACGGGTCTCACACGCACGACCACAAGTCCTACACGAAATTCTGGCGCCGTGTGTATGACGCAAAGTTGGAGCAGGCGCTCACCAACGCGTTTCTGATTTTAGGTAGAACTTTTGATCAGAGAGGTGGAGGCCAAGAAGCCCATTCCACCAGGGGGTGAGTTGGAAGAGTTGGAGCTTGCGTCGACGGAGTTGGCGACACTGTCGCAGGTAGAGCGGGCTGTGTGGGATAAACAGATGGCAACGCTCCTTATGGCGAAGTGTAACGTCGCGAGGCCCAACAAGGGTGGGAGGAGTCCGGCCTCGGACAACAAGCCGGCCGACCCCATGTGGGGTAGCGTCACCCTCAAGAGTGGAAGCCTGTGCTTGAACCCTCCTTGCAAGACGAGGTCGACGAAAGGGGGCTNGTGAGTTGGAAGAGTTGGAGCTTGCGTCGACGGAGTTGGCGACACTGTCGCAGGTAGAGCGGGCTGTGTGGGATAAACAGATGGCAACGCTCCTTATGGCGAAGTGTAACGTCGCGAGGCCCAACAAGGGTGGGAGGAGTCCGGCCTCGGANAGCGGGCTGTGTGGGATGAACAGATGGCAACGCTCCTTATGGCGAAGTGTAACGTCGCGAGGCCCAACAAGGGTGGGAGGCGTCCGGCCTCGGACAACAAGCCGGCCGACCCCGTGTGGGGTAGCGTCACCCTCAAGAGTGGACGCCTGTGCTTGAACCCTACTTGCAAGACGAGGTCGACGAAAGGGTGCTCGTGCAAGCAATTTTGCACACGGGGGGATAAGTCTGGGGTTTTGATGTGCGAAACATGCTGGAAGAGCCCGGAGTCTCACGAGCAGGCGGCGAAGGCTTACTGGGATGGTGTGTCTAAGGGCCGCAACAGAAAAGGGTTCGAATGGCAGAGGGGTCCAGTTGAGACTGCTGGTTGAGGCGCACCTGTGATTAGCACTTGTGCTGCCTTTTCTTCTTGGGGGCCGTTGTGTGATGGTTGTGCCAGGGTAGCCCGGGGTGTGCCAGGCACACTGCTCGGCGTTCGTTCGCGTTTGGAAAGAAAATGTCGATAAGTAGCCTACCCCCCCCCCCCCCCCCGCTTTTCGGTGTGTTTTGAAATTTTAGGGGTGTCACGTTCGGGCTGTGACGGGGGTGAGCGTGGTGAGTAGCTCTGCATACAATTACCAGGTCAGAATATTCGTGCCCGTATTTCTTGTGTTGATGTGAGGTGGGATAAATGAGCTTGATTCGAATGCCAAACGAATTGAACGCACATGTTCTCGTGCACCTGTCGGAATCCCCGTGAACCTCCAAGATATTCCTGAAGGACAGACGAAAGAAACTTTCGCAAAGAACCAAGACACATGGAACCACGTTTCCGAATGTTTTTCTTACCAAACTTTTTTTTAAATTTATTTTTGATTATTCATTTGTGACATCCGAAGTGCAAGTCCGCCCTGCTCCGCGCGACCGACAACAACCGTGACGAACTCGTGTTCCTATTTTTTTTCACAACGAAGAGGGTACGGAATGTTGACCCAACTCTTCACCATTAGTAGCAGCACGTGAACAACCAGCCTTTCCAGCATACATAGGGACACACCAAAGCCCGCCCCGTCAACACACACGTGCGCCGTTCATGTTTGAGACCTGGCTGATATTCGGTTGATGTCGAATATGCTGCAACTACCCGAGCCCGTTCGCCCATTGGGAAATCGAGCCAGCACATTCGCCCGCCGGTCTCGGCTTCATCAAAACAGACAACATAGCTACCTTGCCCCGCGTGCGTAGCCGATGGCACGAGCGCCACACACTACATCGAAAGAGCGGCAAGTACAGCTGCGGGTAGCGGCTGGTCGTCAGGCCAGACCGCGCGGCANGCCCGTTCGCCCATTGGGAAATCGAGCCAGCACATTCGCCCGCCGGTCTCGGCTTCATCAAAACAGACAACATAGCTACCTTGCCCCGCGTGCGTAGCCGATGGCACGTGCGCCACACACTACATCGAAAGAGCGGCAAGTACAGCTACGGGCAGCGGCTGGTCGTCAGGCCAGACCGCGCGGCAGGCCTGGGTGAAGCACTCCTGCCTCCTCAGCTGAACCCCACGGCCTCGCGCGTTGAGCGCCGTCCCGGCGTCGTAGCGGGCCTGCACGCGTCGAGGGCATCGGTGTGAAAGCGACAACATGGTAGGTGGTGCTGTTTATGCCTGTCCACATAGATTCTCGACAACGAGAATTTGTCCCTCGGAAGATCAGGTCACGCCGCGAGGTGTTTGATGTTGTCCGACTAAAATTTAGTGGAACAAAGCACCAGCAATTTTGCTACTGCTGTAGCGCGTTTGATGACAGGCTGTGAACATGTCGACCCAGACGATAACAACCCCCCCGCCAGAACTATGTATACACATGTAACTGATCCGCCAACACGCCCGTCGGCGTACTTCCCGCAAAAATAAGCTTTGATCACAAGCTTCTTTGCCTGCTGACCGCAGCAGGACACCAACAACGTCAAAGGCTAAAAACACCGATTCTCTCGCGGTGTCGAAGTTGTGTCAACAGCTGCAGATCGTATATGTGAAGTATTCAACACAACAACACAACGTGCCTCCCTTTCCGGCCGAAAGTGTCAGCAGGCCACAGACAGATAGATGTCGTTCGTGTGGCACTCCCACCACCACTCTGGCCTCGTGCACATTTCCTGGCACACAAACACAGCAGTGCATACCCCACAACACAGCAGTCCAATACACACACACACCTGATTCCTTATTCTTTTCGTTGTGATCTCAGCTCCTGCTGCCCTCTCTTCCACCTTGGTGACGTCGATGCTGGCGATGTGTTCCGCGTGGTACTTTCCGCATAATCCAGCGTGTTGCTGTGCGGCCGCCTGCCATCTCCGGCAGTTTGCTGATATCAGGGAGCGGACCCGGCGGAGTATCGTGGTTGCAGTACCGGGCACCAACAGCGACTGCGGCCGCTTGCAAAGCTTCGCGGAAACGCTCAGGCGTTTGTGCTGCTATGAGCAGTAATTCTTCCCAAACGTTGAGCGGGTTGCCCTGTGGACAGGAACCCTCAGCATGGTGCTGCCAGAACGCGGCTACGTCGTCCATGTCGTCCATTATTGTCAAGTAAACTGCGTGTGTAGCGCTGGCCAGAGGGGCTCCGTGGGGTATCGACATCGCTATCGGCGTTGAAGGCATACGGGACTTTTTCAGTACACTCTCCCGCTCCATCTATCTCTCACCCTAGTCTAATTTAGTATAGACAGCGGTCCCGCGTGGCTTTTGTAAAAAAAAACATACTGATTGTTTACACTGGGTGACACCTGTTCTGGCGTGCTTAGAAGAAGGGCCATGCGCAATCTTTCCCCGCGCGCATGTGCCTACGCCCTTGCAAGGGATAGGCCTATGTCCTCAATGGCGGCAAAGGCTCGTTTGTTAGTATAGGCTAACCCATTAGACTACTCAGTCAGCGCTGACCGCTGACTGAGTAGTCTAATGGGTTAGCCTTTACCAATCGAAAGATACACTCTCGGCTCGTAGAATCCCGGGCTGTGAGTAGAGATCTCCGGGGACGGACCCCTCGCCAGGCGCTGCCGAGAACAGAACTATGGTGCTTTTTCGTAAAGTGATCAGCCCGGGATTTGAACCTGTGCGTGTATCCTTCGATTGGTAAAGGCTTACCCATTACACTACCTAGTCAGCGCTTACTTGACACGTGGTTTAACAATTGGCGATAAAAGTTTCACGCGCGGGTTCGAATCCCGGCTGCTCACTTTCCCAAGCACCATTATGTTCTTTGCAGTCAGCGCCTGGCGAGGGGTCGGTCCCCGGAGATCCAAGCCGTAAACCCCAAAAATGTGATCCAGCCGGGTGCTAACGAGCTGAGCGTATATCTGCTGTAAGAGAAAGATACACAATTAGACTAGTCAGGCTGACTGAGTGGTCTAATGGGTAAGCCTTTACTAATCGAAGGATACACGCACAGGTTCAAATCCCGGGCTAATTACTCTACGAAAAATCATCATAATAGTTCTTTTCCAGCAGCGCCTGGCGAGGGGTCCGTCCCCGGAGATCTCTACTCACAGCCCGGGACTCTACGAGCCGAGAAGGTATCTTTTGTTAGTAAAGGCTTACCCTGTTAGATATACTCGTAGCATAGTAATGTGGTTGAGTATGGGACATGGATCTACGGAGATTGCAGTTGGTAGATCGCGGAGGAACAGGGAGTTTCTGCTTGGTTTCTTCGGAGATTCGATGAGTGATCTGAATTGCGTGACGGATAGGTGTGGTGACGCACTCTTCGGCTGCTCGGCCTCGAGTGGTCTCTGCCCTTCCCTCTTTCCTCTAATACAAGACTTTCCCATCTCGGCCCTCACTGGCCGAGCTGCCTTTCTCCACAAACCTACAAGCTTCGGCCTACCCGGTTTATCCAACACGCTAGCGTCAACGACTTTGTCGAGGGTGATTGGGTAGCGCCGATGGGCAGCCGCATGCGCGGCTGACGACACCCAACCAGACGAAGAGGCCACCAACGGCGAGGGCCTGCACAGCAGCAGCAACCCCAAGACCTACAGCAGCGCCATCGTCAGCTGCAGCCCGCCGTCTACTTGGGTAGTAGGCCCGCTCAGGCACGTGATGACTTTTCAGTTTCCTACTGGACTGTTGTTGGTATCAACACACCCATTGCGGTGATGCGGTACTCATAGTGCCGTCCGATTCTAAACGCGGCAATACGCCGTGCGGTACTGCCGTCAAACGCCAACGCTAACGCCACCTCCACCTCCACCCGGCACGGCCGTCAAACGCTCTCTCCTACTCTTTCTCTAGTATAATCGCGGCAACACGCTGCGCGGTAATGCCGTCAAACGCCAACGCTTACTCAATCAAAACGCGACAATACGTCGTGCGGTACTGCCGTCAAACTCCACCGCTCGGTCAAAGGCCGACTACCTGTAGCACATGGGTAGACCCAACCTAGGTTACCAGTAATCCTCAAAAACTGATGCCAGTTTCTAAACTGATGATATGATGTGTGCGTGTAGCATGGTATTAGAAATAGTATTGTGCGTAATGAAATGCAGTGATCGGCGAGGTTTTTGCTTTGTCATCCTGACAGCCGTGCTGAGACCAACTTTCTCTCCCCGGCAATAGCGTGATCAACGTTTTATCTGGGCTCTCTTTGGTAGCTACTTTTTGAGCAGCAGGTTTAGCCTGATCAAAAATGCGTGATCAACGTTTTATCTGGACTCTTTTTGGGTAGCAGGTTTAACCTGATCAAAAACTTTTCATGTCTTGGTTGTGTCAGCGAGTGCCGGAGACGTGTCAAGTCTCAACGAAGTGCAACATTGGTACCTCCACCTTGTTGCAGATTAAAAATTCACAATATTGACGAAATAAATGCTGATTTCCTAATATTGTTGTACGTTGTCTTGAGATTGCTATTTGTTGTGAGATTGCGGTTCCAAAAGTTGTTAAGGTTTTGACTTAGGATTGATTACCCTATGGTTAGAACAGTAGCAGCAGCTTGATTACTATTTTGCAACAGAGGACTAATCAACCTCCGTTTCAGGATGATATTCAGCTATTTATGGTGTGGCGATATCGCATCGGCAATGAATTTCAGACAAACCATTCCACAAGTAGGGTCCGACGACTTGAACGTGTGTTTCATTTATTGTTTTTTCTGCTGCATGCAGTCACTACTTTGCAGAACCGGGGGGAATGTTTGTATGTTTGTGATTCTCCTCAGTAGTGCTGGTTTGTTCGGAACTAATCTGCCGCCATCATCCCCTCCGAACGCGCGACCTGCCCTGCACCACTGCCGAGTCAATCCTCTCGGAGCGACAATTGTTCTTCCCCCAAGTCAGGCGGACGCAAACATCGAAGCTCGAGCCGCGGCCAGCCGGAAAAGATGGCGGAAGGCGACCGCGGCGGAGGCGTGCGAATTGTCCGCGGGGGGGAAAACAATGGCTTGGGCAATGGGTTATTAAGCGCTGGAGCTTGATGATGCGCCGGCAAATGTAGGGGTTTCGAGTATTGTTTTGTTTTGGTATTAGATTGGATTTTGTGTTGATGTTGTCTTTGTTTTGGTATTGGATTTTGGTTTTGGTTTTTGATTTGGTCTGGACTTTCGGACTGGAACTGTTTGGTAATGGATTTTGATTTGGTTTTGGTATTAGCTTTTCGGATTTGCATAAATATTGTTTTTTCTTGAGCTTTCGACTGGATGGACTTTGAATGTGTTATTTTGGTCTGTGTTTCTGACTCCAACCCCTTCTCAAATCAGGGGGGCAGATCCCCCCGAGAAGAGGGGCACACTATCCTTTCAGGAGGAGGAACGGAAAGCTGATGTTTGGTTTCTGGAGTGTTACAATCAAGAAATATTCGCGTTTCACCTGCGGAAGTTGTCTTGACGTTGACCGAATGTTTTGGGGATATTGTTTGATCGGAATTGTGAGAGTAGCATTCGTTCCTGGTCGCGTTTTATCTGCGAACTGGGTACATTCTGTGTGTTCGGAAGCATCAAACATGCATATTTTATCCCTTGCGAAATTCATGTTGTCTTGGTATTCATGTAGGATTTGGGGATGACTGTATGCATCTGCAGTATTTCGAAGGCGATTATCCAGGATTGATCATTGTTTTGGAAAAGAATGATGGAAGAGTTCTTCCATAATTATGTTAACATGAATGGGTTGTTTAATGCCTTTGAGACGTAAGGGATGAAATGTATGGCGAATACAAATGCGACGAGATGCAGAGAGAGCAGATGGACCAATAGCAAAGCGTTTTCTGAGTTGAAGGATGTAGTGTGCTAAGAGACGTTTTTGGTTCAGGAATATTTGCATAATCGAGTTTTTGGTTCATTGTTTGTCACGGACGAATAGGAACGACGTTTTGGTTCGTAAGTGGATTTATGTTGCCTTGCCGTATCATTACGATGCATACGAGCAGGGGGGCTGTTAGATATACTCGTAGCATAGTAATGTGGTTGAGTATGGGACATGGATCTACGGAGATTGCAGTTGGTAGATCGCGGAGGAACAGGGAGTTTCTGCTTGGTTTCTTCGGAGATTCGATGAGTGATCTGAATTGCGTGACGGATAGGTGTGGTGACGCACTCTTCGGCTGCTCGGCCTCGAGTGGTCTCTGCCCTTCCCTCTTTCCTCTAATACAAGACTTTCCCATCTCGGCCCTCACTGGCCGAGCTGCCTTTCTCCACAAACCTACAAGCTTCGGCCTACCCGGTTTATCCAACATACCCATTAGACTACTCAGTCAGCGCTGACTAGTCTAATGGTGTAACTTTATCTTACATCGTTTATGACCTGACGGCAGTGCTAGACGTTGCATGATTATGTGCTGTTAATGTGCATTTTGTGTCGTCAGCAACATGCGTGCAGCCGCGTTTGCCGGATCGCATCCGATCCTGCGTGTTTCTAATTTTGTTGTGTTGCCTACTGAAAGGCACCGGAAGGGCACTGATCAAACGGGTAGGACACTGTTAGATTGCCCATCGCTCGGGGTGAGGCATTCGTGGTACTAGAGAGAGAGAGAGGGAGAAGACAGCCATCGTGCACGGGGTGCTGTGTAGATGCAGCAGCTACGAACCAGCCTTTTTCTCTAGTTTGTGGGTGATTGCGATGTGTCCGTTGCGAATACGTGCAGCCTAAGTCCATGGTGGGTGTGGGCCTTCCCCCTTCAGACCGTTCGGGGTGCACCTGATACTCTATCCCCGGCCCCTGCCACGGCACATACCCTATTTGCTCGTGCTGGCTGCGCGCAACTCCGCGGGCGCTGCTCGCAACGTATGTGTGCGGCCAGTCAGACTTCTTCGTCCTTCTTCCCCTTTCTATTTCCATATTTCGGACTATTGGTGGTAAACGGCTTTCTGTGCTTCCCGGAAGAGCCACAGCAGCAACTCCCGTCACAAAAGGGTAACAAATACCCACCACCCACCTGCTCCGCCAGTCAACCAACACACCCAACACACACGAAGAAGGGTCAAACACACAACACGACGGAACTTGTCACTACCCCTCACATCACACATGTCCCAACTCAGCTACACGCGGCACGTTGTTGGGATCAGTAGGAAGAAGCCGGCAGTAGGACCGAGGGCAGCAGGCGGGGTATGTAGCAAAAATCACCCAGGAAGGACAGCTCACAAAGAAAAAGTCACCGCCAGCTCCGCCAGCCGCCAACACGCCCAATACACCCGGAGAGAGGGTCAACACCCAACACGACGGAACTTGTCACTACCCCTCACATCACACATGTCCCAACTCAGCTACACGCGGCACGTTGTTGGGATCAGTAGGAAGAAGCCGGCAGTAGGACCGAGGGCAGCAGGCGGGGTATGTAGCAAAAATCACCCAGGAAGGACAGCTCACAAAGAAAAAGTCACCGCCAGCTCNCACGCGGCACGTTGTTGGGATCAGTAGGAAGAAGCCGGCAGTAGGACCGAGGGCAGCAGGCGGGGTATGTAGCAAAAATCACCCAGGAAGGACAGCTCACAAAGAAAAAGTCACCGCCAGCTCCGCCAGCCGCCAACACGCCCAATACACCCGGAGAGAGGGTCAACACCCAACACGACGGAACTTGTCCATAGCCCTAACGTCGCACACGTCCCAACTGGGACGTGTTTGGGTACATCAGTATGGAGATGCCGGGAGTATGGACGAAGGCCTGCAGACGGCGTAACAATTCACACAGACATGAGATGGCACGGATTGTTTTTTATAGAGGCACAGGTAAACAATGTACCATCCCAGCAGCAGGTAAACGATGTACCACAGACTACAGGATGTCAAGATCGTCATCAATAAACACCTGCCCGTGTTATTGTTGGCCCCGCCGGTACCCGCTTTCTCGGTATATATGTGTGCCCGTCTGCCCACCTTTTACTCTTCGTGACTGCTTTGTACAACTACTTCTACATCTTGTTGGTGCCGCTTGCTGCTGCTCTGCCCCGCTTCAGTCACAAGCGAGTCTTGCTCGGGAAACACGTGAGTTTTCAGCATATATTCCTACCGGATACTTACAATTCAGTAGAATAGCTCGGTGGCTTCCCCCATGACGACCCCTGCCGAGGTCCCAGATCATGTGTTTTTTCCTATTCAGCCGTCCTGAGGCTGAGGGGTATCCGGCCTTCCGCCTACGAGCAGGAGTACCGATGTTGCACAACTTAACACACCTCCTGGACCGGTTTTCAAAGCTCGATTACTCCACGACCAAGACCGGTCCAGACGATGTGATATAAATCATGCAACCTCCTTACACAAGGTAGTTCTTCCACTCACTCACTGCTGCTGTGGGTTTCGTATTTTTTGTACTCATCTCGGGAACACCGGTTACCGCGATGATGATCACCATCGCCAAGCTCAACCAACAATCAATGTTGTCACCGTGCAACACCGGCGGTGGTTATGTCGTTGTCCTCTAGACTATAGGTGATATAACGTATACTACGTCTCACCATCATGTGAGGGGGGCTGTCGCCATATTAATTAGTAGGACGAATACACACAATACACTGTATCTGCATGTCTCTCTGCGCACCTGCCTCGATGCCTCAAAGAACGCCAATAGGTAACCTGCTCAATGTAGGCGTGCGTGCTCAATCCTAAATGTGGCAGGTGACCGGGCTGTGTGCGTGGTGGATGCTGACGGCGAACAACTTTTTTTTTTTTGTCGTCAGGCCGAAACCCGAGTTTGTTTGCGGAGATGTCTTCTTGGTACACTCCGGAAAGGTATGCTGACGGGCCGGGATCCTCGTCTTCCGAGTACAATACAGCTATTCGGGAAGCACTTCTTTGGCAGCACGTATTTTTAGGGGGATTGGGTGTTAAAACCCATTGACATGCTGCGGTGGTGCAAGCCGGGCTGAGAGGTTGCGGGACAACGTTCATGGTGGACATAGTGTTTGGTACTGCCAAGAAGGGGGAGCCATTGCCGATCCTGCTGCGGTGGGACTTTTGCCCGACGCTGATCGCTCCGGGTTTGGTTGCAAAGCCTTCGCTAGCAGTCTGGCATGAAACAGCACCTTGCTTTCTGGATGGTATCGTGTCGACGGTCACTAAAATCGCCATACACGGACGTAACCCTCTAGATCGAGTGGGCCTGGCCAAACCCTCGGGCGGGGCGACTACCCACAGCACCACGGCCCCGCCTAATCTACAATGTGCAATCAAGTTGCCTGGGGTACAGCCAGTCAAGCGTCGAATCATGTTGTTCAACGCATGCTGCAGGTCATAATTTTGCAGGGCATGGATGACCACGTGTTTGAGCATTCAGTTAGGAACTTCCCCGGTGTGACTGAAACAAGATATTTGTTGCGTGCAGTTTTGCTCCTTCTTTTATGTTGCGGTCTCGTTCGGGAGAATGTATGGACTAAGGGCCACGACACCACCCGGTAGGTACTCCCTATTTGCTATGTCCTTGTCCATTAACTGTTCTTTTTTTGTCCATGAACCACTCGTCCCCCCCCGTCTAACCTAAATGAACGCTGTCGGGCCGTTGTCTCCCACATGATAAGCAAGGGGGGCGTGGCTTCCGCCGATCAGCAGGGGGGGCGTGCCTTCCACCGGTCAGCTAGGGGGGCGCGGCTTCCACCGACGCTTGTTAATAGCGGATGAATGACAATAGAGAGGGGCGGCACATTGGGAAAGTTGAGTAGGACGCTTGATACCGCGTTGGGATGGAGTGCGGCTGAATGGAGGTGACGCTTGGCTTAGACGAGGACAGCTAGCTATAGGTACCAGCTTGCTGCTGTTTCCCTGCCAAGTCCGGCCGCGTAGTCTGCACGTAACCCTAGCGGGTGGAGAAGTAGAATGGTTTTATTTTTTTGGAATTGTTCGGCAGATGGCATTGACGAGAGGCAGAACCGCCTTGCGGTGGTAGTAGCGTAAATGGTTAACAATGTGCATTTCATGTGTCTGCCGCCATCGGTGTGTTTTGTCCCTCAACTAATAACTCCGAAAGCTGGACGCGGAGCCTTCCGGTTTGGAATGCCACTAGCAGCGAGATGAATGCAAGAAACACGTGTGAGATTGGCCAAGTTTCTTCTCCATGTGTCTCGCCATGTTGTAGGTACTTTGTAGACGGAACCAAATGTGAGGTTGTATTGCACTTGTTGCGCTTATTGCGCAGCACGTCGAGATTTTGTTTGGGTGAGGAGAAGAGCCGTAATGTCCACGCCTCTCGGAGGGTTAGGCAGGCAAGTGAGCAGGACTCAGTACTTTTTTGTGTGTCTTCCCCACTCCTTTATTGTAGAATAGTGGGCGGAGCTGTCAAAAGAACACGCGAAGGTATCAACCAGGATAAGTCACGTTGTTTCAACATTCGCTTTTGGCCACAACCAACCAACATGGACCCCTGAAACCTCATACCCCACACAGGACATTGATGTGGGCCCAGTCGAGCCGAGTACCATGCATAGATATACATGCATGCATGTACGGCAGCAATGAAGCAATTCATTCCTCACGAATATCAGGCTTCTTGCCACGCTCACCTGAGGCAACCCAGGTTCCGTGCTCAATCAACACGATACTTTAGTACAACATCATCTCGTTCCCGCCCGTCGCCGTGTCACTCACATGTCAAAGGCACCTTGGTCGGGATCAGACCTTACATACGTTATGCGGACACTACTGGCACACAAAAACAAATGATGCACAAGCTTTCGAATGCTATTGCAGAGAGAGAGGCTATGAACGACTGACCGAGCCGGTGTCAACCCCATCCAACCAATAACACCCAAATAATCAGGAGGTGCTCAGCTTCTTCATGTATTATTTTTTGTACATATTTTGTTCCTCTCTCTCATACCACTCTTATCGTGGAATACGTCGACGCGCGCTGGTCCGCACACTCTGGACCTGCACAGCAGTCCTTCCGGGCTGCATGTTCTCCCCAGTCTCTACTCCGCTCTCCTCTCCAACCCCATGTAGTCTGTCGTTCTCGTCCTCCTCCTCCTCCTCCTCCTCCTCGTCCCCCTCTCGTTCGGTTTGCAGCCGACCCTTGCCTTTCTTTCCTCCTTCGGTAACGATGTTGCCCCCCCCGCCCGGATTGTCGCACCCACCACCCCCATCCTCATCATCGGCGGCCGAAAGTTGCTTCGCCGTCTACATGGTTTGTTTGACGTGTGCCGGAATTTTGGACCCTCCCGAGATGAGAGCGGAGGACGTCGCTACTATACCGGAGACAGGCTCCCATGACGAGTCCGGCAGTAGCTTGCGACGAGAGTACACACGGGAACCCGCGTCCCTTAATAGGTAGGTAGGAGAGAAGGACGCTCCGGCGTACGTGTCGAAGGACACAATCAATCGCTGCGCTGTCAACCAGGCGTTTCCTAGGGGTGTACCAGTGAAGAGCTACCTCCTCCTGCCCGTCAACTTCGCGCTTGTCGATAACCTTTTTTACGAGGAAAGGGGCTCCATCCGACAGAAAAAACGAGAAAGTGTGCATTGTGCCATGTGCCCATGTCTGCTGATCCCTCAGCCGCCGCCCCCCCCCCCTGGGCGGCGCGGCCACCTTGTTGATGCTGCCGTAGACCTTCATCGAGATCGTCTCCGAACGAGCTGTCGTCGTCGTCGTCGTCGTCGTCGTCGTCGTCGTCGGAGAGGGAGACAGTGTGAGAAACCCCCCCCCATCGCCCACGTCGTCCGGGTCTGATTCAGAGTCGTCGCCGGAAACCTGAAGAGGAAGCCAGGATGTGTCCAGGTCGAATGCCTTGGTTCCCGTCGTCCTTAGTATTATGAGGCTGTCGGCGTGATCCAGCTTGACACGCTGTTGCTTCTCCGGGTCTGGATCAATTGAGGCGCGTCCGCAACACTTGAGAGCTTTGTTTCTTGCAGCATCATGTCATTGACAAAGGCGTACAACGAACTCAGGATACGTACACAACCCACTCGTCAATACCAGGGCACTTGCAAGCAATAACATATGAGGATACTCTCGTTGAACGATGTTGCGAGAAAACACGAAAACGTACCGCCGGCGTTGGCGACTGGTAGGTTCTCCCACGAGGCTTGTTGGCGCAGATCTCCCCGGTGAATGATCTCATCCTGGACCAGTTTGAGCTCGTAGGGCGGGGTCGCTTTCAAGTACACTGCATGTGCGTGCATCAGGCGCCAAGGTCTGAATCCGGCCCGACTCCCTACCGTCTTGCCATCTTCACTGAAGCCTAACCAGTCCTCGTGGTGCATCTTCTTTTTTACCGTCACCACTACCGAGGGCCCCTTCTTGTAGATTTTGAAAGCTCGGTAGTTGGTGATGATGGGGATGCGTCGTGTCACGGGAGCCACCAGCTCCTTGAAGTTGGCGAGGTGTTCTAGCGTCCGGCATTTTACTTGTATCTTTTTGTAGCCGCGTCTAAAGGCGTCCCCCACCTCCTCTCGCGTGAAGATTTCAACCCCTCCCACCGCTTTGGCCAAGCTTCGCATTCAAATGGCGCAAAGATGACGTGAGCCAAAGAGGGAGGGGCAGGAGACGAACAAGAAAGGGTGCGGTTTCCTGTGAAAGTAGTTGACGCCGGGATTTGCCGGCAAGATGAAGATATGGATATACGCCTTAGATCAACCGCACTCCGATGACAAAGGATCGATCCCAATGGATATACATTTTTCATCAACAATCAGCAGGCGTTGCAAGAAGAAAAAAATGTAACGTCCTTCGAACGTACTATGGATACATAGTCGACCACACCATTAAAATGTGTTTCGACGACTCACCAGGAGAAAATCTGGTCGACCTGGATGTGGGTGTGGCCAACCATCATGAAGCAGAGCGTGACCGTCCTCATGATTCCCCGACCAACCATGGCCGCCAAAATGCCCATGAAGTAGTTGTTCATATTCTCGGCGACAGTGTTGTCCACATGCACGGTCACGTCTACCAGGGTATGTCCCCAGGAGAGGGTCAGTTCCATGAACTGGTAGTGCAGCGCCGTTGCGACCAGATTGGTACCTGCGACGGAAAAAAGTGTCACGCCCGAACCATGAGACTAAAACGTACATGACGATGTCCGCAAATTTCATTTCATTTATGATGGCTAACTGTCTTTTTATTTCTCGCCACGTAAAATCAATCTTGTGCGCGGCCGAAGCCAAACGGTGATACGCCTTGAAAGGATAACATCAACAGAATGCAACTGTGCTGGAAACCAATGACGGCGGCGGTCCCCATAACGTAAATATAATGCGACTGCCAAGCGGACGATCCCTGCATTAGAGATGTTAGCATGGCAGTCGGGCATACTGCGTGCCCGCGGCAATGCACCCTAACACCGACGCAAGCCTCATCACATCATCACCGTAACAAACTAAGCGGTGTCGTAGCAAGCGGCGAACGTTTCGACCACCACGCAACATGCAATGCAAGAGTTTGATCTTTCCGCTACCGTCTGGAATGCTCTCTTCTACGCTCTCAGATGTCAAGTGTTTGACCCTGCTCAAACATGCCTCAAGCGTGAGTCATGCGCACCCACCCGTGCCGAGAATCTGGGGGGCGAAGAACACGTTCATCACCACCCCGGCGACGAGCACATCGTATACCTTCGCTCGTTCGCATACCCCCTGTAAAACAGGAATGAGACAGGGGGAGGTGCGAGCGCGAGATGGGGCGTGGGGTTGCGATTCCTCGTGTTGGATGAAGGGGCAAGGCACCGTATGCAGTCAGTTGCTTCGTTGCTAACGGGACTGTTACTGCCACATTAAACGTGTCGTTTACTTCCTTATATCTTCCGCTCCTGACGACCGGTGACTTGTCGAATGCCACCCTGTCTAAAGTTAATGCAACCAATTACAGTAAAGTATGTGTTTTCCGCGTAGACTATTCGACAAATGGATACGTTACGAAAGCATGCCCAAGAGAATGAACAGCAGCTAGGGCACTCGGAACAGGAACCTGTCAAGGACAGCGAAGTTGTTCTGGTTGGCGCCGTCCATCATGCAGTTATACTGTTTCCATGGCACCCCGTTCATCTTGGCATTCTCCGCAGCCGTGTTTAGTTTTGCGATTGCCTTCCGGTCGTTGTTCACGTCCTGTCGACACCAACACGGAGGAACAGATTCGCTGCTCCGTGTTCAAGGGCAAGCACGACAACAATTCAGCAGCACCTTTGGCCCACACTTGGGACCTCTACGTGGGGAGGTGCGGTAGAGAGAGTTCGCGGTGTACATTCCCGGGTTTTGTACTGAGGCGTCTGTTCAAAAAGCATGTTGGTTGGGTTGTGATATCGTCGTGTAACCCAGAACACCACGCAAATAGCGAATATATTAACAAATACGTGTGGTCCTCGTACTCCTTTCTCTTCAGGTCTTCCTCCGTCTCGTCCTGGATGCCCCTGGAGCCGGACTGCGTTCCGAAGATCGCCGACTTGAGGAACGTGCAGATCTTGCAAAGCATGAAGTCTCCGCTTGGTTTCAACTTGAGATGGGGGAACTCTTGGGTCCATATCCTGCTGAAGTACTCGCGCGTGCAGAGGGCTGCGTCCAGTCCCACTAGATTCCCGTGGAGCTCCTTCCGTGTTTGGCTTTCGTACTCGTTAAACAACTCGTACGAAGATGATAATTGTCGAAAAGAGAGGCATGCATGAAGGAATGGTGAATGGAGTGGTTTCCAACCCGCAATTTCGATTGCGGCTGCCAAATGTAGTATTTACGTACTCCTGATTTTGCTGTGGCAATGGCGACTCGTCGATAGGTAGTGGTAGAAGAGTACAGCAGTAGGCTTGTATAACCAACGAGAAAAAGGGAAAACCATTGGATAGACCACTCGGTCAGTGCTAACTGGTCAAATGTGGTAAATTTTTATCGGGTTACTGCGGGTCGATCCTGTACCTGTGCGATGCTCCACAACGAACGTACATCGCATTGACCTCTATTGTCTTTGTTTGCACAAACTGGGGAGGTTAAAGTTTCCTCCCTTCACAACCCAAATACATGCATGCGCGCAGTACATACATATTTTATACATAGACTACACATGCCAATATGCAGACACACAACATTCGCTACAGTACATACCATACACATACAACACACATGACACAGACTACACGCATAGACTACATGCATACGTATACATACATCGCCCCGGTGGTCTAGCGGGTAACCTCGCAGCCTGCAAAGGGCCAGGTCATGGGTTCGAGTCCCGGCAGAGTTAGTTTTTTCTCGCTAAATATATCCTGGTCTAGGATGAAAGCGACGCGCTGCAAAGCTCATTGTTTGTAAACCATAATCGACTTCGTTAGTCGCGAGGGAAGGGATTGCTGTACCCTTCTCGCAATAAACATACCTCAGGCCGGAACCGCAGGAGGGGGTCCAGCCCCCCCCTCCTATGTGACCCCGGTTGGGTCGTCTAGCTAGTAGAAGTGGAGGATAGGGACCAGAGGGGCAGACGACAGAGTCCAATGATGGGTCACAAAAAAAAAAAAGTCTATATACATGCATACATACATACTACATGCATACATACATTACATACACACATACACATGCATTGCGTGCACAAACATACATTTTTGTTCTTGAGGTAGAGATACTTGTCGGAATTCGGCGTATGCTGCGCGAACGTGTCCTGGTAGTGCTGAAGGAAGCCGATGGCCCTGTCCCTCTTGGGGGAATCTCTTGTCTTTTCCACGGGCATCTATAGACCCATCAACACATAGTAGACAGCAGGCACGAACGGGCAAGACTTCATCAGCCAATAGAACAATGGACAAGTACAATTAAAGCCGCCCGCTTATGGAATGGGCCGATCAATGCACAGTAGTAGTACATAATGAGTCTCACATATAAGGTGTGCAGATTACTGTATGTATTAAGTAGACGGCTATCTACAATAAATAATACTGCTGCTGCTGGATGCTGCAATCTCTACAAACATACTTTGTCTATACATGTGTCTCTCTTGCGTAATGTAGTAGTATGGCAGCAGCAGTACTTCTTCTGCTGTAGCGACACAAAGATCAATATATTACTACTGTATGGAACATGTACTGCTTGTTGTCAGTAGTATAGACTATTTGAGCCATGCTACGGTAGGGGGGTCACGTTTATGGGCCCATATTACACTGCCGCTTTGATATCCGTGTCATTTGCTATGTAGTAGGCACGGTTGCTGCTACTTGTTTCCGACCTGTTGTTCTACTCGAGTAGCTGCTCTAACCTATTCTGCCCGATATGCAAGAAGCTGGTCGACGCAAAATATCGCACACAACCAAAGCGTGTGGTTCGATCGCCGGTGGTCTGTCAACATGTCAGCCTCCATGAAGCACCGACGATCTTGTTGAAGTAAAGACAAGATATTCTTCTTGCGCATGATGATTGATCACTCTTCTACAGTAAAACGACCTACTCTTGTAGCACCTTGTAGCACCACCATCACACATCCTACGGGGGTAGCGACCCTATGCACGAGGGGTATGAAATTAAGGCGTGGAAAAAGAACTGAAACACCGACTTCTTCGAGGGTACACTTCGAGGGTACACAATCATTGAAGCCGATTACATGTGACACCACTGAATATCCCAAGACAACCCTACCCTCACTCGACCGTCCAGCAATCAATACGCATGCCACCAATGTCACCTCACAGGCCCCACTCAACCGTCCTGCAACCTCCTATGCACGTGGCGTGTGAAATATGGCGGCCAACGCATCGAGGCTACATCCTGCAGAAAGAGCAACACTGTTCAAGAGCTAAACGAAAAAAGGACCCAAATGTTCCTGATCGACCGAGGAGCTACTTCAAGACTACATTTCATGGAGGACTACTCTGTACTCCAATCTCGTTTGCACTGTAACCTCGGTGGAAATCTAGTCTATTGTCGACTAGACTACAGGACGACAACCGTTAGCAGCGCTCGAGGTAACCCTCATCGACATTACGCGGAACGGCAGGCAATGTCAGAGCTCGTGAATCTCCTGTTGACCACTCCTAGAGCCGGAGTGATTGCCGGGAATGCCCGTATTTATGTGCAGTGACTAGAAAGTCTCGTTCATTACTTGTATTAGATCCGCAGGACAAACGCACGACAGACAGAGGAGAAAGAGAGTGCCCCACACAAGATGACGCAGCATGGGGGCACCGCAGACTCATCCAAGTCTACTACAACAGGTACCACAGCGGGCCCCTTCATGTACGGAACACAGAACCATTCTTCAGATCCTTCCTACATATATATGCACACACACGGACACCCTCCCTGATTCCTTACGCTAGTAATTATCCGTCACAGTGTGTTGCTCAACGTACTCGGACACCACCGAAAAACCAAACAGAAAAAATAGGCGTTGCAAGGGAAAACCCGGCCTCCGAGCCAAAAACCCTCGCAATGATACTACGACTGCCAAAATAAAACATCATCGTTGTCATCTCAACGACTCCAATTCCATACAAACGAAGGCCAAACACAGCGCTACGTTGGCATTGTATTTCAGCTACTCCAATTCCCCTTCATGGCGACATACCAAGAAGACCAAACTACATCGATGGTTCGAATGATCATCTCAACATTTTCAGGAAATAACAAACATCAATATACCAACGCTAGCTGACACACAGCTGTGCTCTCCCGCGACATCTGGCCTACAATTCGAACAACAAGGAACGACGTTGATACGATCAAAACACGGTAGCGACTGTTGAGGGGAGGTCGTCAGAGACATGCACGTTCACTAACATCAGGTTAACGCCACATTGGATGCTCTCCCACATTGTGCGACTACAAACGAGAAAACTCGAATTGCTACCGGTATTCTCTGCTACAGGTACCAACCGGATTTGTCGGTCCCAGCGGTGGTCTTCTCTCCATTGCCAAGTGGACTCCCACGTCTGGGGTGCGTCTGCTGTCGCTGCCCCCCTACATCTGGGGGCGCGTACAGATGCCCCTCCTTTTTTTCTGGAGATAGCACCTGTTAGATATTTGCGCTACCCCCCCTACATCTGGGGGTAGGTGTTAGTACCCTCCCCTTCATCTGGAGAGCACACCTTCGAATTTTACTTTTTTTTTTTCGCTACCCTCCCTACATCTGGGGGCGCGTGTAAGTACCCTCCCCTACATCTGGAGAGCACACCATCGATTTTTTTTTGCGATACCCTCCTTAAATTTGGGGGCGCATGTTGGTACCCTCCCCTACATCTGGAGAGCACACCTACGAAATTTTTCGCTACCCCCCCTACATCTGGGAGTGCGTGTCAGTGTCAGTGCCTTCCCCTACATCTGGAAAGCACAGGTTTCAAGAACTCAAGTCGCCCCCCCTACATCTGGGGGCGTGGAGTGTTGGGGCTGGGTATAGTGGGTTTCCTACCTTTCAAGGCCTCACGCTCACCTAGCTTATCCTCCGAGCATAAGACCGCCATAAAAGCTCGGATATATCATCGGATGAAGACGAAGTACACTTGTTGCTCAACAAAACACACACACTCAAGAATGGAAACGCCCGAACCGCGAATCTCCTTTCGAAAGCATCATTGGCTGTATCATCGTATGCGAAACTACAGACGCTCTACCAACACCAAATCAGAAATAAAACGCTGAACTGCGAATCCCCATCATAAACTTTCGGTGCCATTCGTCACAGGCAAGATCACTCAGGAAATTACTCACGAATCAACCAGAACTGAAGTGTTTCGCGGCAACGCCGCGCTGTTG